GGGCAACACCTTCGTCACACATGTGGCCACTTGTTTGTACCATTTTCAGGCGATTTATAATCTGTTCTAGAAAAACGATGTGTTTTGGGATATTTGTGGAGTTAGGTGGTCCGCGAGTGTTTTTTTATCGGTTAAGTGGTCCTTGGTATGAAAAAGTTTGAGAAACACTGGCCTATATGCTATGCAGAGACTGCCTTCTTCATGTCGTGAATTGCAGCTGATGTTTTAATATGGCAATTGGCAATTTGACTTGTACAACATTCACAATTGTACATTTGACTCATACAATAACCCACCTTCGAGTGATGCTCTAGTTTCTTCATGTTTTGTTTTTTTTCCCTCTAGCTTGCTCCGGACTGAAACTGTCTTTTCACCGACATCTCTTCACCTCCGTGGCCGTATCAAAGCCGTGATTGGTCAGATGTCGATTCATTGCAACGGTGTCGGGTTACAGACGTGCTCCCCTTGTCACCTCTCACTCTCGCAGGGGGTGCGCGGAGAACTGCACACAGCAGCTGAGGCCCTCTGGGCGGGGCCCCCTGCGCAAGGCGGGGCCCCATGCAGCCTGCGTGATTGGCCTCTAGGGAGGGGCGGCCCTGCCCACATATACATATGGAGTTGGCCATATATGTGCAAATGACTGTTCATGGTCATTTGAAAACAAATGCCGTTGTCGGACACACACAAACACACCAAACACACACTGAGCAGAGCACAAACACACACACATGCGCCTTAACGACCGGACATCTCCTTCATAAAACGAGTAGTAGGGGGATTAATCGGGCAGCTCGATGTGTGTAGAGGTGTGTGTCATTAAAACGTAGCAGTCGTCGGTCACGACGCTGAAGTTGGCTTCCGATTCAGAGCATCCGATTCGGCAGTTAAGGGGAAAGTTAAGGGACATTTAATTTACAGCGCTGAGCGAACAATCCTCCGTGTTTGAACCTCTTAAATCGCTGCATAGCCGATAGCCGAGAGTCTAAATAACCCAGTTTGAGATTTGTGAAACCTTTATTCTATTTGTGAAAATTAAAAAAAGGGAGATTTCAGTGCTTTTTTCACATGTAGACCACATTAGACCAGGTCCTGATCTAAAACCACTAGACCTACACTCATCAAATCTGGACTGGATTATCCCAGAGAGTCTAAAGATTCTTTATAACCCAGTTTGAGATTTGTGAAACCTTTATTCTATTTGTGAAAATACAAACAAGGGAGATTTCAGTGCTTTTTTCGCATCCTGACCACATTAGACCAGGTCCTGATCTGAAACCACTATACCTAGACTCATCAAATCTGGACTGGATTATCCCAGAGAGTCTAAAGATTCTTTATAACCCAGTTTGAGATTTGTGAAACCTTTATTCTATTTGTGAAAATACAAAAAGTGAGATGTCAGTGCTTTTTCACATGTAGACCACATTAGACCAGGTCCTGTTCTAAAACCACTAGACCTAGACTCGTCAAATCTGGACTGGATTATCCCAAAGAGTCTAAAGATTCTTTATAACCCAGTTTCAGATTTGTGAAACCTTAATTCTATTTGTGAAAATACAAACAAGGGAGATTTCAGTGCTTTTTTTACATGTAGACCACATTAGACCAGGTCCTGATCTGAAACCACTAGACCTACACTCATCAAATCTGGACTGGATTATCCCAGAGAGTCTAAAGATTCTTTATAACCCAGTTTGAGATTTGTGAAACCTTTATTCTATTTGTGAAAATACAAACAAGGGAGATTTCAGTGCTTTTTTTACATGTAGACCACATTAGACCAGGTCCTGATCTAAAACCACTAGACCTACACTCATCAAATCTGGACTGGATTATCCCAGAGGGTCTAAAGATTCTTTATAACACAGTTTCAGATTTGTGAAACCTTAATTCTATTTGTGAAAATACAAAAAGTGAGATGTCAGTGCTTTTTCACATGTAGACCACATTAGACCAGGTCCTGATCTAAAACCACTATACCTAGACTCGTCAAATCTGGACTGGATTATCCCAGAGAGGCTAAAGATTCTTTATAACCCAGTTTCAGATTTGTGAAACCTTAATTATATTTGTGAAAATACAAACAAGGGAGATTTCAGTGCTTTTTTTACATGTAGACCACATTAGACCAGGTCCTGATCTGAAACCACTAGACCTACACTCATCAAATCGGGTAAGTATGGACAGCTAATTAAGGAAGAATAAAGTCTTTACTTCTCAAATGTATTATAATTTTGTGTTGCAAATACAAATTCAACAGATAAGTAGGTATACTTATATAAACTTAATGTATTTACAGTTGCAGGCAAAACATTTCAATAGGAAATTAAATATAGTCTATAACTAGCATTGTTCAAGTTTACTTTAAGCAACAAGCTTTGCCTAATTACAGTATGTCATCTTGAGTACTAGGATTGCTTTGGAATGTGAAAAACATTACAAGATTAGAAATTAACACTTTGGTAAAAATAATTGCTATTCATATTTTGCTTTAGGACAAAGCAGCAGAAGCTGTTCAAAGTGGATGAAAGACTGAAGGTTAGCCTTTATCTCATGAACCTGAATTCCTTTAACATCTCTTTCATTTTTTTGTTTGCTATGAAACAGTATTTAAGATACGAAAACTTTGTAGATAAAGAATTATCACCTAAATGAGGAGCATACACTTATTTTTATTTATTTATTCATTTGTTTAACAGGGACAGTGCACATTAATTAACATTCCTGTCAATGTGCCAGAGTTAGCCAAGAGGCTATTTTTCATCTGTTGTCCCTGGACAGATTTTATAAGTGAACCTAAAACAAATTTCATTTAAACAAGTAAATACAATCAAATTAAAACGTGCAACATACATTACTGGAATACTTAAATAAATAAAAAGACAGAACAATAAAACAAAACAAAATAACATGTTGTGACGACCCCTCCCCCCTTCTGCCTGTCTGTGCTCCCTGCCTTGCTGTCTCTGGCAGGTACTGGGAGTGTCGTCCTGTTTGTGCCCGCCCATCTAGAGGCGGAGCCTCAAGAAGGCATAAAGGCTTGCCCAGCTGGGAGGTTCACTTTCTGATCCTGATTCTGGCCTGCTGCAGCAACCTCAGCCTTCCACCTGTGTTTGTATTTTCACAAATAGAATAAAGATTTCACAAATCTGAAACTGTGTTATAAAGAATCTTTAGACCCTCTGGGATAATCCAGTCCAGATTTGATGAGTCTAGGTCTAGTGGTTTTAGATCAGGACCTGGTCTAATGTGGTCTACATGTAAAAAAGCACTGAAATCTCCCTTGTTTGTATTTTCACAAATAGAATTAAGGTTTCACAAATCTGAAACTGTGTTATAAAGAATCTTTAGACTCTCTGGGATAATCCAGTCCAAATAAATCGGCTATGCAGCGATTTAAGAGGTTCAAACACAGAGGATTGTTCGCTCAGCGCTGTAAATTAAATGTCCCTTAACTTTCCCCTTAACTGCCGAATCGGATGCTCTGAATCGGAAGCCAACTTCAGCGTCGTCCTGCGGTCGCTCTTTAGCTGTTCTAATGAAAACACAGTGAAGGCGTTGCGCAAAAGGCGCAGCTCTTTGAGCGCTGGTGCTGCACTTCAGAGGCGGAGTTACACGTCCCGCTACCTCCTGGTGCTGTAGCGATTTCATGAAGTGAATGAGACTCCGAGTTCGAAATATATCTAAAATAATGTATGGACTGCCATTTCCCAACATAAACATAACAGTCTGCAATGAAACGGCTGTCTCCTGTGTGCTCCACTTCCTACTTGGTAACTTTCTCGTGCGAACGAGAATCTTTCTTTTTTTCCATTGCCCTTTGCTCCGTACAATACAAAAACAAATGCAAATATTTAATTTTAAAAAGTAAAGTCCTTTCGAGTCATCTGTCTCAAGTCAAGTCTCAAGTCATGAATACCAAGTCAAAGTCAAGTCAAGTCTTTTATCAATGTTAGTCAAGCAAGTCTCGATTCCAAAAATATGCGACTCGACTCAAGTCATGTGACTTGAGTCCCCCACCTCTGGTGTATACATACCTTAGTAAAAAGCGGTCAGAACAGTTGTTTTAAACTGAGTGTGGAGCAAAACAGCGTCAGCATAAAAAATCAGAATAGAAACGTAACATATGTATGATCCACAAAAAAGCTGCAACATAGACTTGCTACTATTCATTGTACACATTTCAGCAATTGATCTGCTTTACCAGTTTTTAGAGATAAGCGATTAAAATCCTGAGCATTTAAGGATCCATGGATTAACATCAGTAAATTCCTCATTACATAAAACATGATTTTGAAATGACACTAAACCTATACATTTCATCAGATTGACCTGCTGATTTTCCTCTTCAGTCCAAAAAGCTGATAAAAGGAGCTTTTAGAAATGTATTCCATGTCCCTGGTATATGTTCAGACCCTGCACAACTCAAATGAAACTCTTCACTTCCACATTAATACATCCGACAGCGCTTTGTGCTTGTCAACATCCATCATGAAGCAATTATGTTAATGACACTCAACATTTCAATCTGTCGTTTCCTTAGATGTAATCAGTCCTGCTCTCAACAGAAGGACATAATGCCTAAATTAATAGTTGGACATTTTGAGGGAATATTCATTTTCTTCGCAATAATTAAATGAGAAGTTTGAGCACTCTCATTTGTATTGTATCAATCTTCTCATCTAACTCTTTGCAAACAAATAAAGGGAATGTATTACATTATTCTAAAAAATTGTTCGATCTCCGTAATAAAAACTATGAACTATGTCAGAAAAATGTTGTTGCTTAGTTTATTATGATTGCTCAAAAAAGTAGGTTGACTGTACCTTACTGTGCAGCTGATGTCTGAAGAGTAATCTAAAGCACATTTTATTAATGAATTCCTTATGAAGCCTGCAGGGTGTCCTTACATCACAAGCTGGAGGATGGATCATCAATAATAGATGAGATATTAGCATTAAAATAAAAAGGACCAATATAAAACAGAAAATCTACAACAATCATAGAAAAAATTATTTATTTTCTCATTTGAAAAAAAAAAACCGTTATGGAAACCCATAACCAGAAACTAATGCACAGCGAAGAGACAGACGTGTGAAAATACATCATGGACATACAGCTTTGGATAGCAGGAGCATTTCTTGTGTTTTTACGCCAATTCATGGGAGCAAAAAAACATCAAAGAAAAAGGAATTTCAGTGTTACTTAGAAAGGCTTATGTGTCTTCTTCTTGAAGAGAAGCAAACACAATACAAAGAGAAAGAAAATAAGCTGCAATAAAAAGGCATCAATCCCAAATCATCGCCCTCATCATCACAGTGAAACAGGGTTATGGAGCACGGAGATACAGTGTTCAGGTTCCACTGTCTAGTCTGTGATGCTGCATTCAGGTCTCATGGGAAAAACAGTCGCTGACGGTGTTGATAATACCATCATGTTTTGAATGGTAAATGCTGCTTAGGAAGTTACTGATACTTCAGTATTTTAGTGCAAGAACAGACATACTTCTATCAATTAGGGCTGTTAATAATGATAATTTTCATAATCTTTTAATTTGTTGCTAGATAAAATGTCAGAAAATAGTTAAAAAATATCTCGTCTCTCAAAGTCCAAGCTGATGTCTTTGAATGTCTTGAGTTGTCAAAACAAACCCAAATATATCCACTTGTATATATGAAATTAAATAGATAAAAGCAGGACATCTACATGTTTGAGTGTAGGAGAAAACAGCAATCTTTGCATAAAAAACGACTTTTACGATTCATAAAATATCAAAATACGAATGAATAAATAGTAGTTGGTTGAATTATCGACAAGTCGACTAAGCAACCTTTTTCTACAAGTCATAGTTATTCATAAATCTTAGATATCATGGCACGCAGGACGTTCTGTGCTTGTTTCATCTCTGCTATATCATTTCCAAGCTGAGCGAACGAGTCAAGTGTGAAAAAGCTGGAAGCAATTCATGTGAGTAATTCAAATGTACTCGTAGTAATCACAAAAGTTTCAACAGGTGTGAGTCTTTCAAGTCAGGACTTTGAACTGTCGGGATGTTGCAGTTGTATTTCCCACGGGACTTGAACACAGCACAGCATCAAAGGCTTCACACAAAGGTTAATTTGTTCCGTTCACCAAAAAAAAGGCAATTTAATAAAAAGGTCAAACATTTGAAGTTTTTCTTTTTTTCTGGGCCTTCCTCGCAGTTTGCATACCAGCTGGTGGACGCTAAAGCTGCAGTCTGTGGAGCGGAGTAAAGCAGGTCAACATAAAACAGACTTCTACATGAAGGAAACCCCAAAGCATTACATCAACAAGACAGGAGGCAGTTTAAAAGCTTTCTTTTAAAAAGGAACAGTTTGACATTTAAGAACATGTTCTTATTAGCTTTCTTGCTGAGAGCTACATGAGAGGATTGCAACCACTCCAAATGTCTGTGAGAATTAAGCTTCAACCAGCAGACGCTTAGCTTAGCATAAAGACTGGAAACAGCTAGCATAGCTCTGTCCAAAGGTAACCAAATGTTCCTATACGCGTCTTTTTTAATTAATATTTCATGTTCAATATTATAAAGCACAATACATTGCCCTGTGCGTCTGAAGAGTGCTATATAAATAAACTTTGCTTCAATGCTAAGCTTATCTTTTCCAGCTTCATATTTAGATAGACATGAATGGTTTTAATATTCTCACCAAACTCTCACCAAGAAAGCAAATATTTCATACAATTTCAAACACAGTGTAGACACACAAAAGCACTGACAGTACAGGACTCAGAGACAGACACAAAGACAGTTTGAAACACAAGGTTAAAAATGTCCTTTTGACTCGACATAAATACAGAAAACAGGAGAGCAAACAGTACACATCAACCTTCAGGTGGATTCACAGCTGGCTGGTGTACAGGTTCGAGACAGCCATTGTTTGTTTAGAGGAGACATGAGGTGCTGCTGTAACAGAAACACTTCCCTTTAAGTACGGGAGCTGTATCACTGTATTTCCATGCACCAATGAAATCCTCTATATTTAGATTTTAGTGTCTGTTCTTTCCACGATCCAGAATCTTCTGATGGCCAGAGAGCGAGATCAATTCCAGCCGATCCGTCTCTCAGTGGAATGTAGTGGTGCACTTTTATGTCAACAGAATGGAGGTGTACTCTAGGAAAGGCTCTTTTGGACCCCATTTAGACATGCAAAGCACAGCAGCCATTAATCAAGTCACCGTGGAGCCCAACATCTCTGAGGAACTGCTGTAAGGCTACATGTTATCTCCTCCCTGGTGAGTTCTCTGTCTCAGTGTGGGAGGAGCAATCGTTCCAAAGCGCACTGTAAATGTTCCCAGTTCTTCCACAGCAGCGCCAGCAGTGACACGCCCACGCAGGTGAACACCAGGTGGAGGCGGCTCCGCAGCAGAGGGGCGGTGAACTTGGCCGCCGTGGAGACGCACACCAGGATGACGGTGACGATAGCCAGCATGATGTTGATGCATTTCCCCAGCAGCACCTTGGCGTCCGTGTTCTCCACCTGAACCGTCTGCTGCTGCTGCTGCTGCAGCTCCAGCTTGGAAACACGAGTCTGGCACGACTCCAGCACCTCCTGCACACACACACACGCACGCACACACACACACGCACACACACACACACACACACACACACACACACACACACACACAAAAATACGGTTAGGATCTGGGAAATACTGGAGAGCAATGACTCATAAAGGGAAGGGCAGTGAAACTGGATAAGATATGAATTGAACTGCATAGAAACTACAAAGGCACTCAGAGACAAATGCCTTATCTTCCATTGCTAGTGAAAGTGAGAAAAGGATTCCTTCTCCGTTATGATAAGCTCCAAAATGTAATGATTTCTTCCTTGAGCCATTCAACAAGTTAATGACATTTATAATCGCAATTCTGTTGACAAACAGATACACCAAACTAACAACGTGAACTCTTTGGCGGAGCTGATGGAAACATCTTGTGGCTCTTACCTGGCTTATTCTTATATAATGATTTCAAATGATTATAAAGAAAACTAAATCATTGTACACCCAATCAGAAGAGAACTAAATGTACCTTTTACTGATGGCATTAATGGCATGTCATTTTACATAGAAGTACAGGAAGTTACTAAATAATCTAAGAAGGTTTACATTTTGACCTTTAGGGTTAGTTTTTTTACTTTGTTACTGAGAGATTATGTTATGCACTACAATACCCATGATATACTTTTGCTGCTTTAAGGACTGTCACTGTTAAATAATAATAATAATAATAATAGGCCGTTGCAATACAATAGTATATAGGAAAAAAAAGAAATTGGGAGGCGAGTAGAATATACAACTTAAATTGTGTTGGGGTGAACTATTGCTTTTAAAAAACCTATGACTTTCAGTACATTGTTAAATCAAATCATTTCAGTACTGCAGTTCAATGTCTGTATGTCTGTTACTCCAGCGCTGTGCTTCAGTGTTCAATGTTAGATGTGTTTGTGGTGTATTATATAACATATATTACAAAACACAACACATTACCTGAATGTCCCTCGCCCTCTCGTAGGCCTGGTAAGCAACCTTCTCCTCGATACTGGCCAACTCCTGCTTCAGATTAATTGTCTCATGTTGGTGCAGCTCCGTCAGGTCGTTTAACTGATCCTCCAACCGCTCATACCTGACACACACACACACACACACAGATGTATAGAAGGTGGACGCAAGAAGACACAGAGAGAGAGGGAGAGAACGATGCATAATTGAATGTGTGTGTGGGCGAGTAAGCACAGCAGTTTATCTACAACTGCAGCCAAGCTGCTGACAACATTTACCCTTGGTGACTTAGCAACAGTCCTGAGGTTTGACTTTAAGGTCAGCTCTCTATTTTTAGTTTCCAAAAGCTCATAATAACTGTCAGAAGCTCTTTGAAGTTCAACAGTTGAACAAACACAATGTGTCACGTCCAGTCAGGAGGTTATTATGGGATGAGGATTATGAATACAACAGCAGCAGAACTATGGCTATTCGATGTGGGAATATTCAGTTTGGCTTGTGCGCCCTTCAAATGAAGTATGTGCGACTTTTAAATCTACAAGTTATGGCTTCAGTGTGGTCATGCATTACGAGCTGCTCAATCAAAGAGTAATACATCCCACAGAGATGTTCGAAGGACTTTTACAGGAATGTGGAGGTCAACATTCCTGTAACTCATTAAGGGTGTTGCATTATTGCATATGAGTTTAGTTAAACATCCCTTAAGTAACTGTTTTTTTTTTTTAAAGCTTCTGAGACATAGTTGGTGTGTAAAAGTGAGATGAACATGTCTTAGTTTTTAAGTAAATCTCACATTAATTCCTTTTCCACTTACTGTGGGGGAGGATTGTTATGGCCCTAATTGGTTCAGTGCTCATAACATGAGTTATTTTACAGTGAATGATTTATCATGAACCTTCAATTGAATTTCAATTTGCCACGAAGCAAAGTCTACAAATGTTCGTATGGGCTGTCAATTATAGTTCTTAGAATGAAAGAAAAAGCGAAATCAGATTAGGAATTTAGGAATTGGCCAAGAAAATTGCAATCAGTGCATCTCTGATTTGAGGGTTTGTGTTTCCTGTCGGGGTTCGATATGTCCCGGATAATGCCGGGCGGTAACATCCCTGGATGTTCTAAGCCGTACCCACCTGTATCTCTCCTCCTGCATGGTCTGTGAGAAGTAGCTGTAATCTCGTTTGAACTGTGTGTTCAGAGTCTCCATGTCCTCTGCCAGCTGTGTCTGCGCCTCCCTGATCTCCCTCACCATGTCCAGCACCTCCCCTAGCCTCCCGTTAGAGTCGGACCTCCCCGGCCCCCCGGACCCCGCTCCAGAGCCCCCAGCAAGGTTCCCGTTAGAGTCAGCTGAGCCAGACGTCCCCGTGGAGCACTCGTCGTCGCTCTGGTACTTGCTAGTCTTGGCTACGGTGGTGGCGCTGCCGCTCAGCCCTCTTGATGCCATGTCCACCTGAAGACCCCCCCCCGCCTCCATGGAGCTCTTGAGGTGGGCGATGTTGTCAGCACTGCCAAACTTGTTCCTGATCAGGTTGGCGATCTCCCGGGACTTGTTGAAGAAGAACGGCGGCGAGAGCGACACCCCGGGCCCGATGGTCTTCACTTTATCGAGCGTGGGGTGGCGTCCCGTGGCGCTGACGTCCCGCAGGCTGCCCTCCTTGCTGTGCGTCCCGGACTCCTTGCTGCTGCCGTCCTTGTGGCTGTGCTTCCCGTTGGTCTCGCTGTCCTTCACGCGGCGGTGGTACTGCTCCAGCTTCCTCTGCAGCCTGGCGATGGTGTGCGCAGACTTCTGGTTCTTCTTCTCAAAGACCTGGCGGATACGGCCCACCTGCTGCTTGTCGGCGTTGTTCACCAGCTTCAGGTACTCGGCCACGTTCTGGTCCCGAGCCGTCTGCTCCACCTTAATCTGCTCCGTCACCTGAAGGCAGAATGAAAGGAGAACATTTTATTATAGCAATGCTGAATTTAGTTAGTATAAAATAAATGACCACATGGTGTCACCAGCTTTAAATAATAATAATAATAATAATAATAATAGGTCAATCCTATTGACAATTTCACAAAACAATTAACAATGTATTGTATCTATTCACGCAAGACGTTTAAAATGTTATATTTAAAGTGTTTTTTTTATTTCTCGGGGGTATACATTTGTATATGTCTTTTGCTGGAAAAACTAAATGCCACTTAATATATTTGTAAAAAATAAAAAACGAATTCTGGATTTAAAAGTTTCAAAATCTGCTTTGAAATGACTTGAGAAAAGAAATGCATTCAACGTGTTCATTTGACCACAATGTTTTATACAATGCGTTTTCAGATGGTGGAAGTCATTCCTCTTTTGATTATTCCAATGAAAGGGAAACAAAAGGGACTATAATGAACATTATTCAGAAGATGTGGTGGAGAACAATTTCTTGCTAATTAAACCAGTAATTCAATAGATCCTTTTATTGCAATCTTTAGTTGTAGAACTGAATTGGCTCCTAATTGGATGAAGACATTGTGCTGCTCCACAAAGCAACACCATAGAGAGATAAGTGGTATTCTATTATTTGTTTTTGTCATGTTTGTTCAGAGCGTGTTTTACTCTGCTCTACAAGTTAACCACAGTAAATCCACAAGGACACACACAGGAGGTAAATACTGTTTCTCTGACCTTGAGGATCTTCTGCTGCAGGCTGTCGATTCCCAGCGCTCCCTTTGTGAAGTCCAGGCCCACCCCGTCGTCCCCCACACTGTCCACCACGTCCAGGTTGGACTCCGAGCCGCCGCGGCGCATCGGCACCGGGATGCTGAGGATGTTGGCATCGCAAGCACTGCGCTCCGCCTGGAAACACACACAGAAGATGGGAAGGGTTAATATTGAACTGCATTGAACTGTAAAACATATATTATAGATTTTTAGATCGTATCTATCCAGATCACAAGGTTGTATCCACGGATATATTTTTGTGAATTTATTTATGGACAGATTTCTTTGTAAGCACATTTGTGGACATTTTCTTTCTTTTGTCTATATAAATGTTGCATTTAAAAAGAAAGCATTTTGCTTTAAACAATGCATTTGCTCCTTGTCATTACTTTATGAATGCAATGATAGTGCTACTGTGATCTGTTTAAGAGCCTTGCAGCCTTTCTTCTCACAGTTGTTTCTTAATGAAGACTGAAACTAAGTATGTGAATGTACTAAGGAAGTCAATTTAGTGAGAAAAACAAGTCTCCAGGGTGTCAACTGGAGTGAACCTGATATCTCAAAAGCTTACAAATCAAAAGCGAGATAAGATCTTAAAGTGTCATTATTATAATGTCCTTGGAGATGTATAGCCTTTAACACTAACTGTACTTCTGTTAATAACTGCTGTTAGGCTACCATCTTAGAGGCACAACATTAAAAGCCTCATTAAACATCTTCACACTGAAATTAAAGCTCACTAAGGATAACAATTGGTGCACCGAATATAAAAAAGAACATATTTTGCATCAAAAAGACACGACACAGACTGAATGATTTTAGAGTAAACTATCTGCCATAAACCCTCAGCATTATCTAGTGCCATGGATATAAAACAGCAGGTGTGTTTATGCGGCTTCATCTCCTCACTGTTCTCTTTCCGTCTCTAGCTTCACTCTCTGTCTAATCTCTTGGCAAGAATAAAGTAAAGATAAGAGCAGAGCCAGAAAAGAAAAATCAAGAGGATCAAACGAGTATTGAGTGCACAAGTCTCCAGAGGATTTTCTGTGAGACTGGAGGGAAACGGCAGCTAAAGAGACAGTCAATGCATTGTCTGAAGGCTGCACAATGGTCAGTTAGTGGAGCTCCAAATAAACAGCCTCCAGAGCCTCGTCTCCTGAACATCCATTCTCTCTGTATTGACAAAAGCAGACAATTACGTAAGGCAACCTAAAATATTAGTATGTGGTAACTCTTGTTGCCACGGCAGCAAAGCTAAGACTAAGCTCTAAAACACACACTCGCTCACACACATATGATCGAACAGCTGACAAACCCTGCAGGCGCTGTTTTTTTGTTGTTGTTGGCTTTATACTTGATGTGCTCTTATCCACAGACGAGCAGAAAAGGTTACACTGTAATCGTGTCCCGTGGTTTTCTGTGATGTATCCTGGAGTCAGCAGCCATCATCTCCAGCAGTGAATAATAGTCTTACAATACTAAAGAGCTACTTACTTTTTATTAACATAAGAAGTCATTCATGTAAATGCTCTGGTCTGAATGATAGTGTCCTGAGTACAGATGGCTAACACCCTCAGAACATCGCACACATTCAGAAGGACAGAAATGCAGCCAGATCAAAATCTCTGTGAATAACCCAGCACTAAGTAAACATATACACAGATTTGTTGTTTGTAGCTTCAAAAGTGAACATTTGCTTGTTTTCCTTTTTGTGATAAAATACATACTTTGGGGACTTGTTTGAATGCTGGTCATTTCTGATGAGAAAGAATGAGCTCATTCATCCATAGAGACGCTATATGTATAAGCTTTTATATTATCTCTTCCATGCAATGCCCTTGGATTATTTTTTACAATGTTTTGTGTTTGTTTTTTTACCACAAAAGAGCTTTGGCAAGGATTACTACGGAGCCCCCTAGGAGACATGGAGAAGAAAAAAAAAATTATTTGAAAAAAAAAAAAAAATGTTTTGCGAGATATCGCAATACTTTTGCGAGATCTCGCAAAACCCCGTTGCAGTTTGTAGACGGTCCCTAAGCACTCCTCTCCCTCCTCAAGCTGCAGATTGTGACCAATTCTTGATGTTTAGCTCGGATGACGGCGCGTATCGAACTGTTCTGATAGAAACGACTGTAGCTCGTTCTCTACCTTGCTATGATGATTGTTTGTATTTTTACAACGTTATGTTTATGAGTTATTGATCCGCGAAATTCGAATCTGTCAATAACTCAGCTCAGAGGGACGTGCATGTCCCCTCGCTCTGAGTGTTCTCTTGAGGTGTCTTCACTTATGTGAAACCCTTTATATATACAGTCTATGTGTGAAACCCGTGCCTATTGCCAAGCACTGATGTTATAGCTTTATATTTAAGGCCAAGCTCAAAGTAAAATCGATGAACCGCTCCATTGTTGTGGTTTCTGTGTTGCCGTAGCAGCCGAACTGACCAGGAAGTACATTGAGCTAAATGAAAAGTATTGCGAGATCTCGCAAAAGTATTGCGAGATCTCGCAAAGGGGTTTTGCGATAACTCGCAAAACATTATTATTATTATTTTTTTCAAATACATTTTTTTTTCTTCTCCATGTCCCCTAGGGGGCTCCGTAGAATACCAACCTTGGGAAGTAAACAACTTGCCACCAATAAAAGCCTTCAAAATGGTCAGATGATTTATATCTATCTACCATCTCTATTGATCTACTTAAATTCCCCCAAATAATAACATCATCACTGGAAATGCATTTACTTAATGGCAATTGATTACTTAACACATACTACTACTTTTTTTAATCAATTACTCATCCCGTCATTTAAACCATTGAAGTTAACTTTTTTTGACAACATTTATTTAGAAACTCAGTATAACACATTTTGGCTAAAACTTTAAATCTAAAACGCTCAAATCATCAAGACGTTCATCAAAGGGTTTGAACTACAAAAGTGTTCGAAGAAATCCTTCCATTTCAATGTGACTTTTCTTAGTGCTAACTTTAAACGCTTTTGAATCCTGTGGCTGGAACCGTATGTGGTCAAAGTTCAATCAGAAAAATAATGAACAACTGATTAAATAATTCAAATGACCGAAGCCAGATGCAGCCTGATGAAGCACCTTCACACCGAGTCTACGGCATTGAACAAAACTGTGAATAAATAAACCTCCTGCTTTGGACTAAAGTGTTTACATTAGTGACCAGACTTTTAAACCTCCCTCCTTTGCTGTCTCTCCCGTACAAACAGATGATAAATCAGCTGGTTGCAGGAGATGCAAGTGTAAACATGCGGCTTACACTCGGCAGTCCAGGCACGCATTGGACATCCATTGGAAAGTGGGTATGAGGGTGAGAGCGAAGGGAATTATTTACAAGTGAACACACAGAGGCACCATATGTCTCTGAGGGCACAGGTCGCAACTCGTCCTATGACCCCGGTCTGCACTGATGCCATTTAGATGATTATACAGATGGGTGGACACACAGCCAAAACACAAACAACACAGCTGGGCTATTGACCGCTGGGAAATACGAAGGAGATTTTGAGATATATGGCTCTGGAACTGGGTGATTCAACTTGTCTCCTAGAAATAAAAAATGTATGAAACATGGGCTACAAACGCTGCCCTTGGAGGGAACTACTGGCTATAAAACAGGCTGCAGAAAATGTTCTAAATTTGGTTTTCACAGCACACGATGTACAAGTGGAAAAGGTGACACAAAAAGTACTTTCCTGTTGGCTTAGGTTGTTCATTTACATAACATCTGCAGCTTCCTTTAAAGCTTTGATGCATAAAAAACACATCTATTTATATCGCAAAACAAATCTCACAGTCTATTGCTGTTCTATTGGAATTTAAATGAATGATCATTTTTTTGAATGAATCGAAAAACAACACAAGTTTAGAGCAAAGCACAATGCTCTGAGAATGCATTTCAGCACCTTGTAGCTTTGAACTAAATGATAACATCAGCATGCCAACAAGCCAAACATGACACTGAAAACACTAACATGTTGATGTGTAGCAGCCAATTTTCACAATTTTCCCCGTGTTAGCTTAGCATCTTAGCATGACTGCTAATTAGCACTAAAAACTTAAACCCATATATCCAATAATTGTCGAGACATTTCACAGATGTAAGAAGAATTGATGGATTGTTGATACAGTTTCATCAACAATAGATTCAACAGTATTACCAAACATATATTCACGACACTCCGGAGTATTGGTATCTCAGTACACCCTTAAATATCCAAACAACGTATTTCCCCATCTCAATGCTGGATCATGACATCATTCATTCCCACCAAAGTGACCGCACTCGTTTCTCGAGCGATGCTGCCAGCGTGGCTAAAAATAATCTAAAGATGAACTGATAATGAAAACAATGAGCACTTGAATTAAATACCCAACAAGTGAACCATGCATAATAAAGCAGATCGTTTTCTCTGTGTCATTTGAATTGGCTTTGTATATTCCAAATCTAAGATTAGAGCCTGGAGAGGAAGCTTGTGGTGTGAACAGTATGTGGAAAGGAGAGAGTGGGCCACAGAAGTGCTACTCCAACTCCCACTAAGCCTCCTCAGTGATGGAGCTGGGACCAGGGACCTTGCCATGGGGAGACAATGGCCCGGCACAAACACAGGAAACAACCGACGGAAACCTTTCTTTTGTTGCTCCAAGCGCGCAGGGAGAAGCTCATTATTCCTGCCTCCAATCCACCAATTTATATTCCACTAACATGAGCCAGAGGTAAACTACACGTCGTCCCCCATGAGCATCGAAATCCTCCCCTTCAGCTCTAATCAGTGTGTTGTTCTTTGTTTGTCAAAACCCAGAGGTGACTCAACTAGTTTATCAAAAACTAATCAGCAGCTGTACGCCGATGAGAAATGAACAACTAAACATCCCAAACTAAGTCAAGGACGTTCACAGGATACTGTGAGGCTCAGTGTGTCTCCAGATGCAGATGCAGATAGCTCAATGTATGGTTACATGCAAAGTCAAGTTATAGCTTATATTCTGGAAAGATTTGAAACAATGTCATATTTTAAATATATTTTAAAAGAGAAATTGCCAAATAATTGCTTGTTCCAGTTTATCAAATGTTATTTGTACATAATTGTAAACTGATTTTTTTTATGTT